CGGGGAAGAAATACGAGCCTCTCGCTGTCAGGACTTAAAGACGATTCATAAACGGAAATAGAGAAGGAGTGGAACAGTCGGTTGGTCTTTATTGGTTTGACTGCATCAGGACTGCAGCAGAAGATGGAAAAGTGTCTGTATTTTCTACCCTCTCTCGCCGTGTTCTTAATCAAAATATGTGCACACACAAAAGACAGGCAAATTCTCCAGTGTACATTTTGATCTCATTCCCCTCACTTGGCGCACACTGACACATGGCCACCCACAGTTTCTCGGGGGAATCTCTGGGTAGTTGACTGTTTGCAGATTATCACAGCTTGTTTTTCCACCCGCCTGAATGCCATTTCCTGCTTGTTAATTCTCCATTAATGTCTCTTGCTTCGCGTCCACTTAACACAAGTACTGCCAGAGAGGCCTGGCTATGAGAGGCTTTGTCACACCTGTAAAAGAAGTGGTTTTCCTGTAATTAGCTCCTCTCGTGCATAATGCTATTGTCTAACTTTTAATGAGAGGCCACTGTCAAGTTTCATAAGGGGTTTTTGTAGTCCACATGGTAATCATGTTGGAGTATTTGCGTGCCACCGTCACCCTGGGCAAAAAGCTCCCAATAGATAAATTAACCCAGAATTATGGGCGATGTTAGGGATTCTTCAAAGATCTACTTGGTTTCAATGAAAGTTACCGTGAAAGTTAATGTGATTTACTTACTGAACAGGAACACTAGGGGGGGGGACTTCCAAAGTGGGATTTAGATAGAACCTCTGCTCCTTTTAAAGTTAAAAGGAGCAAGTTGTTCAGTTGGTATTCCCCATGGTACCATCCCCCTGGGTCACTTCCCAGGTTGATATCCAGGAGAAGGCTTTTATAAAATTTGCTGGAGGAATTACATCACTTTTCTGGGCCCAGACCCCCCGCCCCCCGCCCGCATTTTCATCCAGTAGGAGCTGGAGGTTTCGGTTTGAGGAGGATGTTTGGCCTTCTTTGTTTAAAACCTACTACCACAATGATCCAGTACCCGAGTAAATTACTGCAAATGCGTGAATAAAAAGTCCTCTCTCTAAATATGAACAATTCATCTCCACAGACATCTGTAAAGCTCTATCCCTCAGAGTCTGATACTCCTGAGACAGTGACGAGACCTCGAGGAAATTAATGGCCAATTTGTAATTATACTTCACTGGCTCAAGATGCAGATCATTTTGTTGAAATGTTCCATCAGAACACTGAGACGGTGTGTTGGCCCGATGGTTATCAGAACCAGTTTCATTTCCTGTCGAAACCTTTCTTCCAATATTTGTATGCATGTATGTGTCCATGTGCGCTTCAGGGATTTGCCTATTATCGCCTTTGAAAGACAGCCCTACTGGACTGTCATTTACCCATACTTAGGATAAACTAAGCCAATATTTACCAAAGCAGGTAGTTAAACTGACAGAGTTCAAAAAGTTGCAGGAGATTGTCTCGTTGAAGAAAAAGACGTCCTCTTTGTTTACCGGCCTTAATTGATTTGTCACAGTTTCACAACCTTTCCACACTGTCAAAATAAACCTTAGAGCTTGTCACAAAACTGCCATGTGAATTTATTTTATCTAGGAAATGGCAACGGCCATGCTTTGGATGAGCAAGGGCAGCAGCGAGTTTGTTAAACTTACTTATATCCATTAACTGTGATACCAGTGGGAGGAGTGCTGAATGGATCTGAACCCCCTGTGGAGCAGCTCTACAGCAGCAATGATAGGTTTTGCATTCCAGTCATGCTTCTCTGCAAACAGCAAGTAAACGAAGGCCTAACCCTGCATGCTCCTGTGGAGAGAGCCAGCAATGAAAATGCATGTAATCATTGAAAGCAGGGGGCATGTGCCCTGGGCTTTACCTTGGATCAGTGCTCAGAGATGGAGAATGGGAATCTGGACACCAGGGAAGCAGCCAAATGTATCGGTTCGAGTGCAACCACAGCCGCCACATTTGAAAACATTGTTTCTGATATTTTTGCTGAAAGCATACAGTAAAGCTGACACATGCTGTTGTCTGTCCTTGACAAAACGGCTATTTAGCATTGAAAAACGAAGATAGCATCTATTATAGTTATACATAATATACAAAAGAGTCAATGGTTCTCACTTAGTTCAATATGTTTTTTTGAGGTTTACTCAGAAATGATTTGACCATCCTGAGGTCCAGTACAAAAGACAATGTGGACACACGTTGAGGAGAAAGGGCAAGGTTTCTGCTTCCCAAAGGGCATAAGCAATTTTCAGCTCTAGTGAGCCAGCTCCTGGAATATCTAAGTCGAACACAGAGCAATACTCAAGCTCATTTATTCACATCCTCCCAATGGCAGTCCCTGACTTGTCATTGTTTTTGTCTAAAGTACAAAACAAAGAGAGCAAATTTGAGGAATAGAATTCAACTCAGTGCAAGTCATACCATGGTAAAACTCTATCAATTACTTTGCATCAAGTCTTGTATGTATGCTAATGTATTAAGATGAGTGATAAGACAGTCTTACACATCTGAATATTAATCAGTCTAAAGATAAAGATGTGTCACTCATCCTCTGATTGGGCTCTGTCTGATGCCCTTGTACAGGCTGCAGTAGTAGTGAGAAATGCAGGCAGGCTCTATGATTGATAGCTATGCTAGAAGTGCCACTGCTGCTCTCCCCAGGCAATGGCAACTGCTCTCCTGCTCAGCAGGCTGGGGTGCCAGCTTTCTATCAGTCAACTCTGTGGCAAAGATGTCTTCCTTCAGTTCAGTGCAACTTCCCTACCGTTGCCTTTTCGAAGTGAGATTAGATGAGGACGTTTAAGATGGGATAGTAGAGGCAAAACAGTTAGCTAAAGTTTGATGGGTAAAATAAAATGGCTTCTTTTTTTTTTTTAAATAGAAGTGTCTGTTCACAATAGGCTTAAGCGAATATGACTCCACCCAGAAGCTTGAAAGTCAAGTCCAGGCTCCCCTAAGACACCATGGGTAGACTTAGATTTGAGCATGTTTAGTTGACTCTAGCTAGGGCACGCCTTCCCCTGTGTCATGGCAGAGATTTCAAGTGGAAAACAAGGCTTATGGCAGCTGGCAGTTGACAAAGGGAGCAGTTGGAGTTGACTGCACCCACTGTGCTATGACCATCTTTACTGATCTACTTCACCTTACTAATCCACTTGTCTCAAGGGAGCCACAAATGTGTCCCATTTGTATTGTGATGTTTTTTTTATATATATATATAAATCACCCGTCTTAAACATTTTATGGGGATTAGCCCAGCTTAGCTCCATGGCTAATGCAATGATTAGGGATTTCTGGCACAGCAGATAAGTGAATGTTCACTAGTTACTCAGCAACTGCACTCAACTGTTTAAGACTTTAAGCCGAAAGTCTTGGACAAGGCAGCTCTCAAGCCAAGGCGGCGTGTCATCCATTACACTTTATCAACCTTGGTTACACCACGATACACCAGTTTCACATTGTCCTGTTTCATCAGGTAGTTGGCTGGTGAGCACATAAGAAGAGCTCTAGCTTCAATGTCAAGAATCTTGACCTAGCTCAAATGTATTTGATCTTTCTTTTGAGTAACACATTGAAACATCCAAAAGCTTGTGATTTACAGACTGAATACCTGCAATTAATTCAAGTTTAACAATTATGTTCACCAAAGAAGAACCTTGATGAAAAAAAGGTGTAGCACTTGAAGGCTGATGATATTTATGCCAAATTGATAAGTGCAAAGCCACCAAGTGTGCTATAAAATCTGACCTACAGCTCCCAAAAGAGCTCCAATAGTCGTGGCAGCCCCCGAGCAGACAAATCATATTACTCATACTATCAAAGTTCTGTGAAACGCAGAACTGAGCAGTGTATAAATCAAAGCAAGGTCTACAACACAAGCATGTGTTTAAGGTTAAAAGCAAGAAGCAGTGGGTCACTTGGGGATCAAAAGAATTTTATAGCGCAGTATGAAGAGAATTCTTAAGTGCAAGTTGGAAATGGACCTTTGAAGATAAAATGTCAGCTGCAATTTGGTCAATAATTCCTTTTAAGGTTTTTTATTAAAGTAATGGTAAAATGAACTCTGTGTGTGTGGTATATGATTAGTTTCCCCCTTTCAAATGTACGTGCTTGCATTACAAAGTAAAACAAAATGTAAGTACTAGAAGTGGAAGAAAGAAGCTTTTTGGGTTGGTCCACATTCATCAGAAAGACATGTATGACATCTTCAGAAATGAGTTTCCAGTGTCTCAGTTTAGTATCCGTAGGGTTTTCTTAATGCCGGTTTAACTTGTAATAAGTGTTAGTTTATAGGTATAATGATAGTTATCATTGTCATGTCCTCAATTGACTTTTTGCCTAATTTCCTCCCATATCATTTTTCATCAGTCATTCATGTGCGCTTGGATTATTCAATCCCTTTTAATTTTTTTCATAATGAAGCAGGTGTCTAATGGGGGAGATGTTATTTACTCAGTGATTATGAAAAATATCTGTGCCAAATATCTAGGCTTGTAATTACCAATCTAATTGGCGTACAGCCCAAAATTGTCACTGTTATATGATGAATTGCTTTTGGACCAGCTTAAAAGCTGATGTAACAGAGAAAAGGTCACATTGCTCACACGGATGGCTTAGAGAAGCTTGTATTTATATTTTCTAAAGTACCTTAGGATCAAAATTGATATCATTGCACATCATTATATATAAAGAGACAGCACTGGATCTTTTGTAGCATATCGAATATGTTATTCTGAATGTTGATGGAACTAATGCATGTTAAAGTGCTGCTGATGGCCTCAGTATTTCTATTTAGATCATTATATTTTCTATGCTTATTCAAATGGAATATGGTAAGAGTTCTTTCTGAGTTCAGAGAAAAGTGACATTTTCCTGAATAAGAACACCAGCATAACTGTGCGATACCAATGACTCCATTGTATACATGGGAAAGCAAATCCTTGCACCTCATTACAGATCTTCTCTTCTCTCTCTGTTCTCTTTTGTAGGTTCCATCTGAGTAGGAGGTGGCAACAAAAGACCAAATGCCATGGATGTATTCAATTTCACCTACTGGAATGCCTCCGAAGGCAATGACACAGAAGTTGCTGCAGAGAGCGAGAGCCCCTACAAGACCGTGGAGGTGGTGTTCATCGTGTTGGTGGCCGGTTCCCTCAGTTTGGTCACCGTCATTGGAAATATTCTGGTCATGCTTTCCATCAAAGTCAACAGGAACTTACAGACCGTCAACAACTATTTTTTATTCAGCCTTGCATGTGCTGACCTAATTATCGGACTGTGCTCGATGAACTTGTACACAGTCTACATAGTAATAGGGTACTGGCCCCTGGGGCCTGTGGTGTGCGACTTGTGGTTAGCCTTGGACTATGTCGTCAGTAATGCGTCTGTCATGAATCTACTCATCATCAGTTTTGACAGATATTTCTGTGTCACCAAGCCCCTCAGCTACCCTGTCAAAAGGACCACCAAGATGGCAGGGATGATGATCGCTGCAGCCTGGGTTCTGTCTTTTATCCTTTGGGCACCAGCCATCCTCTTCTGGCAGTTCATTGTGGGTGGGCGGACAGTGCCTGAGAAGGAGTGCTACATCCAGTTCTTCTCTAATGCCGCAGTCACTTTTGGCACTGCCATCGCCGCCTTTTACCTGCCTGTCATCATCATGATTCAGCTCTACTGGCAAATCTCCAGAGCAAGCAAGAGCCGTGTGAAGAAGGATAACCGCAAGCCTTCTTCAGGAGCCAATCCAGAGCCCCTGTCACCTGTCCAGAGGAGGACCAACACACCCAAGCCCAACAATAACAATGTACAGGGGAGGACACCGGTCGTTCCCCGAGCCAGCATGCTGTGGATGGTGCCAACCACAATGATGGGAAGTTGCAAAACGGAAAAGGACCTTCCTCGATGACTGCTGATGGAGAGACCGAGGGTGAAGACGCCACGAGAGAGACCTGTGCTCCAGGAGAAGAGAAGGAAGCTCCAATGATTCAACATCTGGCAGTGTGGCTGCGTCCAATCAGAAGGACGACGAGGCAGCCCCTTCGACTGTGAACTGCAGTGCGGGGACAAGCCAACCGCCCCCTCGGCAGCGAGCAAAGGCAGGGGTCTCCAAGCTCACCTGCATCAAGATCAAGACAAAATCCCCCAAGGGTGACTGCTACACACCGTCCAACGCCACAGTCGAGATTGTCCCAGCCACAGAGAGACAGAATCACGTGGCACGGAAGATTGTAAAGATGACAAAGCAAGCGCCCATCAAGAAGAAGAAAGCGGCGCCATCACGCGAGAAAAAAGTTACCCGAACCATCATGGCCATCCTGGTAGCTTTCGTTGCCACCTGGACTCCTTACAACGTGATGGTGCTAATAAACACCTTCTGCTCCAGCTGCATCCCAAACACAGTGTGGACTATTGGCTACTGGCTGTGCTACATCAACAGCACCATCAACCCGGCCTGCTATGCTCTCTGCAATGCCACATTCAAAAAGACATTCAAACATCTTCTCCTCTGCCAGTATAAAAACATTAGGTCAGCTAGATAAGTTTTAGCCACCAAGGAGAAAATGTTGAAGTATGAGTTGCCTGAGTGTGTGTATGTTCCATCCATGTATATTCCTGGGTTTGTCTGTAAAAGGTTGGTGTGCTTGTGAAGTCTGCAAGAGAACATTTGAAAATTACTTTCCATCATTTCATTTTTTTTTTTTTTCCTCTCTCAATAACCGGTTGTAGCACTTTACAGGAATTCAACTGATGCCAGTTGTGTTGATATGTGTCGTGCAGAAGCAGCGTAGAAAAAGAAGATCGTGAAATATTCAATATTAGTCTGAGTTTTTAAGCTCAAGAAAATTGGGTTTGTAAAGCAGGGGAACACTTTGGAGTGACAGAGAGCTGATAAAAACATTTGAAAAAAAGAGTAGAGGAAGATCTGCGCAGTACGGAAACACAAGAAAACTTCAAAATGGGAAAATAGGGCTGACTGAATCTATAAACCTCAGAAGTTTGAAGTTCAGTGAAGACACCTGTAGATAACTGTACATATCAGTGTGAAATCAATATTCAAGTGGGCGCACATGTGGGTGTGTGCTGGTTCAGAGTATCCGTGAACACCCATCTGTGCCCCGCTGCCTGCCTTCCTTCTATCCGTCTGTGATCTTCATCATGCACTTCCAACCAGCAACATGTAGAATAAAGTGGGGCAGCTAGCTAGTGTAGATTGCCTCTGATATGGTCACATCAGGGCTGGAAGCTTTCCCATCTACAAATGCGCCTCTATGGGAATGAGTTGCTATTAATACATGATAATAAACTGTATAAATATATTAACACTGCATTTGTTGACTTTGCATGCTGGAGGGCCAAACTGGTGAGGAATACATTGAAACTTCAAAATCTAGTCAGCCAAACTACATAACAATTTCTCAATGTCTTAGACCATATAGCACCTTTATGTTACTTAGCCAGCTAATGAAATATGTGCCCCAAAAAGGACCTCCATCTACAACAATGGAGATGAATGCAGTGCTCACCACATCAAAGATTAACATACAAAACATTTGACAGCAGCATGTCTTTCCAGAAGCACTATCCGAACTACATAGTCAACCTTCCACTGAACTCCTTTTTTCAACATTACTTTGTAATTACAGCATCACAGATGACCATATGTGAGATTTTTCAATTTCTACAAACGTACTCTTTTCTAGACCAATTTGGTGCCATTAAAAAGATAAATCTTGCAATCGGTGAAGAAATGCTCATTGTCTAAGTTGGACCTTCCAGATTAATCAGTGATCCATCCAAAAAAAGGAACCTCCTCCTCTTAGCTAAACAAAAAAAAAAGAAGAAGTTTCAGATTTTGGGACATGTACGTTATTCTTAGACTTGACCAGACGCTAGGTCTTAGACTTGAAACTGATAACTCAAACAGTTAGCTTAACTTAGCATACAGATAAAAGCATTGGGAACAGCTAGCCTAAATCCATCCCTGTGTTTAACAAATAATCAACTCCCAGCATCTCTCAAACCAGTTCTCAAGCCCAACATGTCAAACACAGAAGCTTGGTCTGTGGCCTCAACGCTTTAAAATATAAAAAAACTAGTTAGCGCTCAAGTGTCAGTGTAAATTTCATGCCTCAAACCAGGAACTTAAAAGTAATAATTTTATTTAATATTGTTGTTGAATTCTATCTATGGATCGACGGTGGTGCTAGCTTATCCAACAAAGTCCCGTGACCAGTAGTTGAGTAAGTTACTAATGGCATGCTAACGGACTGGCTAGGCCGTATGCAGTACTGTTGGAGTATGTACAGGCAGAATGTTAGTGTATGGTTTTCGGACACAGCCCTGAGTAAGAGTCCAGTATTTAGCACCCAAAACCGCCAGCCGATGTTGACTTTTGTGCTCATCCTATTGTGTCTAACATCACATTGAAACATTAAGCTAGGGTAACATATCTTGAAATGAAACCACATCTATACACTGACCACGCTGCTGTATTTGACAACTTCAAAGTGAGAACAGGCTGCTTAACCCCACTATATATACCATGTCTTTTCCCATTTTTAGAGGACAAAAAAAAAAAAAAACAACTTGTAAAGATGACAAAGTAATGTCTAGGAGCTAAAAACTTCCTGAGTTCATCCTTACGTGGACATTTGGTGCATCTAGCCAAAAACTAGTCCCTTAAATAATCAATGTAAAACCATCATTTGTCATTTTCACATTTTAGATTTTCTTTGAGACAACATCCTGTCCTGCATGATAATAGAGAATAACAGAATAGCTGTAAGAACAACAAAGTGACAACAAACAACACGTTATGACTAAGCAGAAAAACAGAAAAAAAGAAAATGTGGCATGAGATTGTTCAGTCGCACTCTTTGATTTGCCAGCTTGTTGCATCACATCACGTCCGCTTTTCCAGCTGCTGACAGGATGTTTGATGTATATTTTATGGTTTTCATGTTTGCTGTCGAGTTTACTCACCGATGCTAGGAAGCTTCCTACTCGGGAGTGAAACAGGTGGCTGGAGCTCAGAGCTGAGACTCATTACTGTATGTGGGAAGGTATTGTGTGGTTCTTTTTTTTGTTGTTTTCTCCTGTTGTTTTTTGGTGTGTGCGGATGAGTGGGAGACTTCATTTGATCCTGCTGATTAGTGGATTGATGTCTCAGCGTGTACAGTACTCTACTGTACTGATGATGATTGTGAAGACCTGTATGTGTGTGTGAGTTTGTGTGTGGGTGCTCCTGTGTGAGGTTTGTGTAGGTAGTATAAATGCTGACGAGTGTTCGCTCCAAGAGTGGAGTCTACTTCTGATCACAGGATAAAACCTTGTGATTTAAATAAGGGCTATTTCCACGTCTTCAGTGTAACGCATCTTCAGCTTCATCAACAACCAATTTAAATCCATATAAGTAATATATAGTCGTGTTTGTATTCATAGTAAAAGAAATGAGAACATTTCAATTAAGTGTAAGACATGTTCTGTGTATCCATGCATGTCATCCATCATTTCAGCCTATTAGACGTTTCTCGAGTTACATTAATGTATGCACATCAGTCGCAGCCATGAATATTCATGAGCGCTTGCCATCAGGAGGTTGCCGCAGAGAGGTGCTGGTAGGGGGGCTTTGCAAAGACTTACGCCTGCACCGAATACCTCCTTAAGGCTTGTCTCCTTTTTTTTTTTTTTTTCTCCCCCGAAAGAGAGATCTGGGACAGATCCTATAATGAAAACTCACCATGAGGCTGATCAGATTACGGGACGATGTGGAACACCTACATTTGAGATTAAAGATTGCCCATTACACGCTTAGCTTGTGCTTCGCTTGCTCCACGCCCATGCCCCACTTAGTGCTCCACTCAGCCCCTAATCCTGTTATAGTCTCTACCTCAAGATATATGAGGTCATGAATGTAATGTAAATATCACATGTGCATTCATTAGCATCAGTTATTATTCATTCTCTTTTTCTGAGTTGATTCTCGCCCTTCCTTTATGCTATATTCAAACTGTCGAGCTGCTGTATGTGTTCCGTGCCAGCGCAGGATGAACATCTTTGCATAATTTTTCATTAACCTACTGAAGCACACTGACATTTACTTTTGCTTTGCTGGCCACCTAAAGCCAAATGATAAATGTTACATTAAAGGTGCTCTATGAAGATGTGGTGGTAAAACCTGAAAGTTGGAGAAGTGAAACAATTGAATGCTATATTTTCTGAACTAAATACACAAACTGTATTCAAAGGAAAAAATGGGTCCTGTGAACACTGAGCTGGACACAAATAGTCTTCCAGGGACCACATTTTACTCTGAGGACAGTTTGTGTATAGAGTAATCAACATTTATCACAGAATCTGTAAATTTCTCCAACTTTCACATTTCTCCACCGGGCAGAGATTTTAATTGAATTGATTTATTTAATAGGGACAATGCAATGTTCAATAGTTTTAGTACAAAGCATGAAACTGAGAGTTTATAGCTATTGCTAATTTCCAACTCTTGTCCCTTAAACCCAAAAAATGCATTTAAATGAAATCAGTAATACCCTGTTGCATTTCAGGAAGTTGCTTTTGCAGAGTGCATAATACTAAGGCCAGGGTATCTTGTACTTAACAGATTCATACAAAAAAAAAGGAATTTCCAACTCTGAAGCAGATAAGACCCCCAGCTTCACAGTAAGCAGATTATTCTTTAACTCTGAATTATTTCATGAAACAATTTTTCTAAAATTTTCCCGGCCAACGGGAAAGAAATTCATTGGTTCCAATTCCTCAGATAAGATTGATCTTGTTCCTTTTCTCGGTTTGATAAAGCGGTCAAATTGGCACTAAAGCAGTTTAATATTGGACATAGATATACTGTACGCAGCTGTGTTTAGTATGGTATTTGAGTACTGTGCACCACTGATGCACATTCATGGACAGTCCATGTTTTCTACTCGGGCAGTTTCAGCGAGAAACCGAGGCATCCATCCAAGTTCCACATCCAACCATCCGTCACGGTGATAAGTCGAGCCGTGTCTGTTTGACATCTGTCACACTTCTCAGTAGTGGGTAAAGAGCCTTCCAGAATATTTGATTAATCTTTGCTAAGCTGTCGTTTGATTGATACCAGCAGGAGAGTAAGTGGCTCACAACTCAGGCGGAGGTCCAGGGGTCCTGGTTTGAACAGCTGCTTGATGGTGTTTGATTGGAGGTGATGGCAGTTTATCACCTCCTGGAAGCCGGGGGAAAAGGGGGCGAGATACGTCCCACAAAAAAACTGGTTATCTTCACGGCGTGCACTTAAGAACATCAGGAGCAAAGTTCCCGTAAAGTGTTTCCACCCCCCCTACTCCTGTTGCCGTGATGTCCTACACATGAGAACAAAACAGCATTCTTGTATCAGGCGTTGCTTTTTATGTTGGGAGGAGAAACAGGGGGGGGGGGGGTGTGATGTGTGAACATGTGGGCTTATGATAGAACAGCGGAGTGTTGTCGGCTGACAGTGAAAGAGAGCGGCTGTCATGCAGACGCGGGAGAAAGGCGGCTGATAGCCCCTGAGGTGTACACTCTGTACAAATGAAACAGATAAGCTTGCCTTTGTAGTCATGGCTACCGGGTGGGAGGGGGATAGAGAGCGAGAGTAAGGAAGGAAAAGGGGTGGGGGGGGGGGGGGGGGGGGGTTGTCTGTGACAAAATCCAAAGCTTGCGGATCCCGCTGCGTGTCGACCATGTTTGGAAAAGTCACAGACGTTCTTGGCAGGTCAGCCAAAGGTTTCACTGCAGGAATTTGAGTGTCCCGGAAAAAATAAAAAAACTCTGCCGTGCTGTAATCATGGCAAGAATCCTCACCGCTTACCTTTACTGTCATCGCTTTTTATTGCACCTAATTCCATGAATCCGCCATCCATTCTCATGCATGTACGCTCGTGCCATGGACCTATATTCTGATATTAATAAAACTAGCGTCAACATTGTCTCCATTCAAGTCAACAGATCATTTTGTGCCGTCAGAGCTAACTGGGCTCCTCTTTCATACGGCTAATGTCAAAGGGCTCAAACTCCTTTTATGGAGTACATGTGATACGTAACGTTGTTCAGAGACGACTCTGATATTTGAGGGTTTTCTCTGGCTTCTTTCATGGGGGCTGATGGCTAACGTCTGCAGCCGGGCCAGAGTAAAAAAACACAGCAGCGTGTACGTGCTGTGAGAAGTGTTACGGAGAATAAATCTATATCGCCAGATTGTACAGAGCAATTTTGAAGTGCCTTATCCAGAGTGACAAAAACAAATTGCTCTCCTTTTATCCGTAAATCCTCGTTGTGTTGTTAGTGTGACTGTGATGAAAGTTGTGGTGCATGTCGTTGAGCCTTCAAAAAATATTCTGTAAAAGCAGCTGGAAAGCTAAATCCACAATAGATTTGAAACCTTTTCAGTAAGGGTGTTATGTCCATTATGCATAACATCTTAAAGGAAATTATTTTCAATCCATATTGAGTTTGAATTTGGTTTAGATATCGTGGGTGTATAGTAGATGTAATGCAGTAGATATTTGGATGTTCACACCCAACGTTAGCATTGTTTGCAGGATAGTATTAACAGCCACAGGTGTCGAGTCTCCACCAATGTTGTCTACTTTGTCCTGCTGGAGTTTGATCATCAGTTTTTGGTGATTGGTATTTTGGGTCGGCATTTTGAGAACAATTAATGGTATCTTAGCTAACGCTGAATGTGGAAGCTAACTGCTAGCTATGTTAACTCACCATTCAGTGACCAGTTTAAACAGGTTATTTCTAATTAGCTTCTCCCCTGATCCCGATCATTGACTTATTTATTAATATAGACAGTGAGTCTCTGTCTTTCCGTTTATCCAAAAGTGAAGCCAAAATACCTCCGTGACTGGTGCAGATATACGGTGCTGCTGACGTAAAACTCACAGCGTCAGGAGTGGGAATTGAACTTTCGACCAGTGCGACCACTGCATCCTCTGTACATGGGGCACCCGCTCCACTGACTCAGCTGAACCGGGACTCCAAATCTGCCCTTTTTTGCATCAAGTAACTAATAAAAACAAAACCGGGTTTGACAAACATTTATTTGACGTGCACTTAAACTTTATAGTGTGAAACATGTCCCATCTGGTAACATGGAGGAGGCGGGGGTTCATGACCTATACTGCATCCAGTCAGCAGGGGGAGCTCTATATATTTTTGACTTCACTCCCAGGCGACTGTTGCTGCATCCATCTTAATATACAGTCTATAATTCTGACCAACATGACTCAAGCATATCGTTTACGGCTGTACATTGATTGAAGAGTTGATGTGTGCGGAATAAGGCAAGTGTCAATCAAAGCGCCAAAGGCCACGCCTACAGTCAGGAGAAATTGTTTAAACAGCAAAATTAGCTTATTATGAACTTGAGTTTTATTCATAGCAAGGGGTTTATTTTAGCAGAGATTTACATGTAAATCTTTTTCATTATGAGGTTTCAAGCCGAATTCTCAGAGGCTTTACAGTTAATGTTTCTCAGCTCTGAGCTCCCATCACTATGATTTCTATTTTAACAACCGCTTACTGATTGCAGCTGCAATGAAACTTTGGACTGAACAATCTTAAAATCATCTCGATGCCTGTTTAAAATAACACTGCATAGCTACAATCACAGCAGTGACATATTTCAGTACTATCCTCTGGCACAGCAGGCCATTTTGGCTCATTTCTCCATCCATTATGTGTGTGTGTGTGTGTGTGTTTGTGTGTTAGTGTGTGTGTGTGTGTGTGTTTAACTTTTCTATATGGGGGATGCTTCCCTGTTTGTGTGTCTGAGATTGTACTGAGATCAGTGCTGTCATTTTCTAATGTGTGTGTGTGTGTGCAGCTTGCTGTGCGGCGTTTATTTCCTTGGTAATGGCATCCTCAGCATGAAGACTTCATCAGATTGGACAAAATATCTCGGCACACATCAGGGAAGACGCTCGTGGTGTGATTGTCTGTTTCTCTGTCATCCCTCCTTCCTCTTTAAACAATAGCGACAGGCTTCCAAAGACTCACAAAGACGCTGCTTTGCTTGGGACTGGAATACATAGAAATACATTATATTGTACATTTTCTATCACATTTTATAAATCTGTTTATCATTGTACAAATGTAGTATTACAAATTAGAGTATAATTCTTGTACAGCCAGAGTTTCTTTTATTTGGTTTGGAATTGAAGTGTTACATAAAATCTATAAATGTTTGAAGATCATGGGGAGAATATGCTTATAAGAGTAGAAGTTATAAATATATGTGCATTTCCTGGGGGCATGACTTCCCTAAGAAATGAATTCCTGCTTTGCAAAGATGAACGTCTGGATCAAAAACTTTTGAACTTTCCAAGCGGGGTTCCAGGGGAATTCAAAAGTGACTTTTGCAGCCAGAAAAGAAAGGGGGCAGAAAAAAACCTGGAGGAGGACAAAAAAATGTTTTTAAAAAAAAAGGCTAAAACTGGTTTTAATGTGACCAAAAGGGCCCAGAGGCAAAGGGGGGCTTCATTTTGATTTCACCTGGAAAGTTATGAAGCTTCACACTCACCTTGGAAAGAAGCTGTGATATCCTACTGGACACACTTTATAACTTTTTTGCAATTTTAACATCCTGAGGGGTGTTTTTTTTCCGTGGAGCAACCAAAGTGTTGAGGTTGTTTGACCTGATGTGAACTCCGAAGGTCATGATTAAAATGTGGAATTAAAACAAAAAAACAAAAAAAATAGAAAAAAAAGGAACAATCAGTAGCCTGCTGCAAGTGTTAAATGTACATACAAGTGTTCATTTTTTCATTTGCGTTGTATGTAGATGTTCATCGTGTGTTCACTTCACTGTGGCTTGTGGCTTCTCTTGCAATAGGAAAAATTTAACCGTCTATTGTTTGCATTGTACATATCTATATGATAATAAATAATATGTAACTGGGATGTGGAACATTTGAAATGTACAGACACGTCTTTTAATAGCTATCTGAGTGTTTCCCCTTCCCCCCCTTCCCCCCAAAAAACCCTTATTTACTCCCCTCCCCCTCTATGATACTTCCTGTACAGTAACAATGGTATTGATTCTTTTTTTTTTTTGATGCATTCTTGATTGATTATTTGTTCTGGACAATGACTGAGTGTTAATATCTCTGGCCGCCTATATGACCCTGTAAGATGAATGGCATTGAGTGGTTACTATGTGCCGTATGCTCTCAGAATGACATTCAAATAAAAATATATCAAAATGTGGTTTTTTGGGTTATTTTGGAGGACGTTGTGAGAAAATTAAAAAAAAAAAAAAAAAAAAAAGGACAACATTTATTTTTTTGTATTTTTGTAATTGTTTTATTTTTGGAAATGTAACAGGAAACAAAGGGGATGTTAACTCCAACTTGAAGAGGGGGAGGGGGGACTACAAAAGCAACGACTTCATTTTTTACAGTGCGTATAAATTGAGGTACAACAGAGCAGCAGAGGGAAAAACTTGTAGCTTTTTCCACACAGAACTAGCTTATTTGTATTCTTAAGTGGGAGTTAAAGCAACATATCATAGCGCAGAATAATTGGGGGGAGAGTGTTACCATTTAATTGAGTTACTTTAAAAATTGCAAATACACTGTTTTCTTTCCTTTTTTTTTTTTTTGTTCCCCAAATTAATTGAGCAAGCTTCACTTTTAGCAAACTGCCTCATTAAGTCAGTGCATGGACCGCAGAGTTTCCCAAATGAGAATTAGGCTATGCAACTGTAGAACAAATCCCATCCAATTCGCTCTTTCGAGAATCATGCTAGAAATCAAATCATTAGGTAAGAAGAACACTATTAAACTTTTCTTTTTCCAAATCCATTATTTGTATTATGTCTTCTATTGCAACATACAAGTTTCTCTCATCAGGTTCTAGAAAGAGGGGGGGAAAAAAAGCCAAACACGCTAAAAAACACATTTTCATTTGTTTTTTCAAAGCTCTACAGGCTCCTACTGGCAAAGCTACAGGATATACAAAGAGGAACCGTGTTTGAAATAGGGCAGTGGACGTCTTTATCCCCGCCCCTTTTCTTCCCATCCTCAAACATCCTCATCAGTCCATTTGGGTGCGCTCTCGCTTCTTGCCGTCCTTCTTTTGCTTCTTTGCGTCTGAAAAAAAAAAAAAAAAAGGCATGAAAGACAAACAGTTAAGTTACTTTGCTTAACCGGAACATTTCTCTGCCAGAGGTGGTGTCTTTTTTGAAAATAAACAAACCCCCATTGTGTCCGTGAAGAGCACAGATGCTCCGCTTCAGATTGTAATAATCAACAGTATGAGGTTTAATTAGTTTGGTTTTTTTTCGGTGCCAGAGTGCAGGTTTGAAGCTGCGGCGCTGCGTGCAGTCCCCTCCTCCAGGTCTCTGCTCGGGGATTGATTTGGTGGCGTGTTAGGAACGCCACGCTCCCATGAACACACGCTTTATAATCTTGCCGCAAGAGTGGATTGGTACCTGGCAGCCATGACAGAAGCCACAGTCCATGGCGTCCCTCTCTGCTTTGCCGCCTCTCTGCTCTGCTGGACCGGAAGAGGGAACAACCCAGCAGCGGTTTGGCTAGCTAGCTGCTGGCTAAATGTTTGTTGGACTGTCAATCAGGCGGGCTTGGTGTGTGTTCCTGCTCTTATTTATGCATCTATGTCTGTCTCTTCGTTCAACTGTCTGTCTTTAACATGACACTGAGTGTGTGCAGTAGTAGATTATTTACCTGAAACAACATTTTTTTAAGTTGTTTTTTGCGGTTTAATGAGACGCTTCTCTGCCAAATCAGCCTCTTTGAACGCCCTTTGTTGAAGCAGTCAATAAATGATGGTTGAATTCCTTTTTAGGGTCATGATATTGATCTTATGTTTTGTCAACACAAGGCTGTGATCAGGCTCTGTCAGCTTGGGACCACCTCCTACCTACGTTTAAGCAAAAAGCTGACAAGTTTCAAAATAAAACACACACTGCTTAGGGCTGCGCAAAATAAAAATAAAGGTGAGTATCTTAAAAGAGATCAAAGTCATTTTATATAAAAAGGAAGTCTACAGCTAAATCAATTTTTCTTATGAAAAGGGACACTTCTACAACGCAACAAATCCTCTAATGTCATTCAGGCGGGCAGTTCAGAACCACATATGCTAAATCAATGAGATTAAATTCAGTTCAACCTTTTTAACATTCTGACTGTGCCCTATGAGGAAGTCTGTTCCTGTCACCTCCACTGCAAACTTCCTTGGGCATTAACATTTTGACGTGCAAAGCGTTCACACCCATGTAAATGTGGAAATTGCTCTTCCATCCCATTTGTTCACTTGTTTTCATTTTCTGTTTTGTTTTTTTTCCTTCTTCCCCCTGTTGTTTTTGTCAGCATATTCTACTCCCCCCCCCCCCAGGGGGAGCGATGGATGGAGAAAAAGATTCTCTCTGTTGTATCTGCTTGATATCTGAGATGCGTACTCACACACCAAATTTGCACATTCCATGACACCGCTCGCTCTCCTCTGGAGCTGCATACAAAATTTGACTTAGGCACCAGATCTGATCTTTTGGCATTTGCTTTGTGTCCAAATGTACATACACTCTAAAAGTGAGATATACAACCTTGAGTTAAGTCATTCTATGCTAATATCGCTGCAAAAAGCTCCTGTGAGGAACTTTCTTTTTCGGTCGATTTTGGCACCCCCTTGTGGACGACGCGATAACTCTTATCTTACTGCTGTTTTTTTATTGTACATGTGTATTAAATAAAATGTAATCCTTCTTTCTTGGAACAGTCAAATGTATCACTCACCGTGAATCTTTTCAGCGGGAAATCGTTTCAAGGTTAGATTTAGATCGACTCAGAATCACATATTTTTGACAGGACCGGCCAAGTCACTAATCACGGCAGTACAGGCTGAAAACTGTCTGATTCGATTCACCTGCTGGTGCATGTCTATTAAGCTTGAAGAACCGTTGTATCTGTTAAGAGTTTGCCCGCCCAGCCTCAAAACGTCTGCACTTCTTCTCCTAACTCAGCGGTGTGGACACTCACACTAAATGACTGACATTACGTGTTTTATTCTTATAGACAGACAGGTGGTGTTCTGATCCTCAACCAAACAAATGTGGCATCTCTGAATTAGTTGGAAGCAATTTCCTCTGGAGAGAAAGCCTTTTTGTTTAACCTGAAATCAGCCCTGGCATCCACACACACACACACACACACACACACACACACACACACACTCCCCCATCGTGCGCTCCTTGCTGCCTGTTCTATTGAAAGAGAAGGCGGGGACATCAATGTTTGTACAGGCGTTCATGACGTTTCATTTCAGTCACTCTTTGTTCTCTCTCTCTGGCTCCGCGGGGTCCGTGTTTCACCCGGGTTAGACGACTAACTCTGAATCTCGGATCGCTCCCAAGTCGCCGCTTACAATTGTCTCCAACAAGAATCTGCAAATGACAGATGCTACATCCATCACAACAACCTGCTGCATTCAGGGGAAACCCACCTATATCGCCCAGAGCCAAGCCGGTGTTCAGAATTGCAGATTTTGGCCGTGCAGATCTCTGCTCCCAGCTGCGGGTTAGATAGCCTTTAAGTCGCGGCGAAGCCAAATGTTTTTTTTACCCATAAGCCCTGTGATCCCACTGCTGTGGACTGTATCTCTGCCATCCCCTGACACACACACAGAAAAGCGGCACACAATTCCCCCCTTCCTGTGCACACCTCATTGTGCTTTCTCTTCTCCCAGTAACCCCCCCCCCTTTTTTTGCTTCTCAGGGCTTATCATCCAACTGGCAGACCTGGGAAATCGCTTTGCAATCAGCCAGCGAGTTTCTCTTCCTGCTGCCTCCCTTCATCCCGGCTGCTGTCATCCCCACTCTGCCTCTCTGTTGCCCTCAGCGCTCGCACCTCTGTCACTCCGCATCCACACATCTGGCCTTCATTAGAATTGATTTGCACAGGTTTTCAGAGCTACAAACACGGGACACACACTCTCATTCACGCACACACACACACACACACACACATCTATGGGACATGAATTTATACACATGCACATTCACCGCATGAATACTTCACGATGTGCATCGATATTCTTGCATAATGAAACATGATGAATTACATTTGAAAAGCAGAATAATGTTGAGGTGTCCATGCATCTTCTAACAGGATTCTAATTAAGATCATGGCTTCGCCTGTCTTTATGGATTTTCTTACATTTCTTATGCTATGTGTGTTAGGTGGGGGTTATTTCTGTATGAGATGGACAATCATGAAATCGTGAAACAGTCTGTGGATCATCTTAGATTTATTCAGCCATGGTCAGACAACACAGAAACACAACACACATGGCTGACAAAGTGCAGACCATCGCTGACCCATGCTGACCAAGATCTCACAGTCATTGACAATCATTGGCAAAATGGCAAAATGGCAAAGTCTTCATCACACAGTGTTGCTTATATTCTGCTAGAAGGTACAGCCCACAAATTCCTTTCCATTTGGGTACATCACTATAAAACAATAAAGATGACATGACACTGATTTGTATACATAACAGATGTAGACTCTCTGTCTAGCAAACAGTTGCTAACAACATATAGTTGGCTCCTATCCATTTATAGATCTGCTACTACTTAGGTGCTTCACCCATGTAAGGTTACAGCTTCACAGACCCAAAAGTAGAATTACTGTGAGATGGTTGACACAATTTAAAGACATGTCCACAAAATTATCAAGATGAATGAATCCATGAAAATACGTACTAACAATATGGCAGCCCCCTTTTTCGTTGGCTGAGTCTGGCCCTTTAACAGACTCAATCTGGCCTTTGACCTTTTCTATCACAGAGATACTTACCTGATCAAAAAGCTTTAACATTTAAGCAGTTAGCGGTTTGTTAAGAAGAGGCACCGGGATCTATGTCGGCTGTTGGGTCCCAATGAGGGGGGGGTCGCAACATGATAAATGGGCTTGAGCTTGTATAACGCTTTTCTAGTCTTCTGACTCCTCAAAGTGCTTTTTACACTGCAGGTCACACCTACACATTCACACACTGATGGTAGAGGTTGCTATATAAAGTGACCATCAGAAGTAACTAATCCCATTAACCCCCCCTTGGAGGTTAAGTGTCTTGCCCAAGGACACATCAGACTGAGTGTGGGGACCGAATCCTCGATCTTCCATTTGAGAGACGACCGACTCAACCAACAGTGCCAAGATGCCTTCCAAAATAAACAAACAAAATGTGAAATCCCACAGTGGGGTTCATCATGTATGAACAACCAGATCGGGAGGATTTCAGGAGAAGTCTTCTCGAAATTCTCCAGAAATTGTGTGCATACGAGGCTTCAGAATCTTCTTGAAAGCCGCATTAGAGGGTTTTCAGAATAAAGTTATTCCCAAGAAAAGTTTGTGAATGATGCCCAATGACACTCAGGACTTATCAAATCCATTTTTCCCATCTATAAACCCATCTACATCTCTTTATATTTAAACAGCATCATCCGGTACCATATATATTTGAAAATGATAAATAACAGATGGCAAGTACAGCATGTACCCTCAAGATTCTTCCCGACATGAGGCATTAAAGATGTGCTACTGAGTGGAAGATTAAACACATCCTGCCTTTGAAAGTCAAACAGAGTGTGGCATTAAATTCTCAAGACAAACAGTGGAGCAGACAGATGTGTTACACCTGGCACCCCTACTGTGTCTCAAAGGTGTCCGTTGTGTCTTATCGACGTCATTCTGGAGCTCTGTTTGACTCCGGCTGTTTGATGAAGTGACAATGAGGTTAAGTAAACGCCATGTGCCAACCCTTGTGTGCACATATGTCATCTGCAGAGCGTGATAAGGACGCAGTTTATGGCCACTGGCAGCGATTCTGCACTCGTAATAATCCTGTTTGGACAATGGGACATTCACAGCGGGTCACTTACAGCCTTGTTTACATTGTTAACAAAGGGCACTGGCTTAATTGGAATGAATCGAGTGGTTTCTTATCACCAGCTTCACAGAAGATGGAATTATTATTCTTCACACATCCACATTTCATATTCTGCAATTTGTCCAAAATCTTGTGTAAAGTGACTTTTCTAATAACTGGCCATTTCCCATCGAGCGTTGGAAGCAGCGAGAACACTTCCCTGACTTCACTTTCTTTGACATGATGAAGAAGAAGCATAAAAGCATGTAATTACAGTTGAATGGTGAGTTAACCCCTTCACCCAAGCCTTAACGCTGTCACGCACTGCTTCAAACTCAGCATTTAAGTAGGTGGCTTTCCATCACGCTGATGGGGGGGAGTTTGGATCTGAACGTGAATTACAGCGGCTGTTGCACGAGATTAAAATCATTTGCGAGGCTTTTGTCAGATGTAGCGAGAAGATGCAATCAGCTCGACGCGTTCAAGTCGATAAATATCTGTTGAACTCGCACAGTTATCATCACGAAGGAGGAAGAGGAAAGTTCCCTCTGAAAAATAACTTCTGAAGCGGATTTTTGAAGAAATTCTTCTTTTTTTTTTTGGACCTGTGAGTTTTGCCATTTCATGGGCACCTTTTTTCACTTGATTAAATGTCTGCAATCACACCGACCTCAGCGCCTGTAGATGTCGCTGTTCTCCAAGTTGGCTGGCTTTAAATAGTTTTATAGTTATAGTTTGGTTTGCAGAGCTTGGTTTGCCAACAAAAGAAATGTAGCTATGAACTAATCCAATTTGTCTGATGAGATATTCATTAATTATTATGTAGAAGCTTCTTTCCCCAAAAGGTTGATCAATCAGAAGAACAAAGCCCTGTTGGGTTTTCTGCTGAGTATAAAACATCATATCTTCACCTCAGGTGAGAGACAGGACAAAACAATCCATCAATAAGACTTGTGTACCTGCCTGAGACTCAGCGTGTCCCCCCTGAGAGTCACACATCATCTACTGAATATTTACTCCACTCTCAGCGTACCTTGCAGCTTGGGCTTGGGGATTTTCCCACAGGGCTTGGTGGCGGTGACGGTGGAGGCGCAGGTCGCATCCGTGAGCGCTCGCTTCAGCACGCCTGTCCTGTTCTTCCTGCCCGTCGCCAGATCGCACTCCCCCCAAGCCTGGAAGTCGTACTTGCATTCTCCTGTTGCGCACAAAGAGAGGGAAAATCAGATACTTAATTAGACGCTCTTGTTCGGCGTTCGAGTGGCTCCGAGAACACGAGAGTATGGTAGCGACCAAGCAGGGAAAAACCTTGTGCAGTGACCGTCTGCATTTGTTTTGTTTTTTTAAAAGCAGTCGGCCGCAATCAGTCGATGAAACAAGCCCCCCTGGAGCCTGCGAGGGTGTGCGTTCCACACTCTGAATGGATGTTGTTCGATGAGCTGTCTTAATTGATTTCACTCATAACTCCTTCCCATCCGTAGAAGACGTCCATTATCTAAAGGGGAAGACCTGCAGAATCTCATCAAAGGACCCTTTTATTAAAAGACGCTTATGGCTTTGTGCTAACCAGAACAGATGGCGCTTCGGTTCTGATCTTATATTTTCTATATGATGAAACCCGCAAGCACACGATCGCAATCAAATGCAGCCTGGAAATAACGGACTCAAACAATCTTAGCAGCAGACAATACTGTGAGAAACACCTCAGATAAATACCACATATGTGCTTTTATTTGATATTAAATGAAACACACCTCAAACTAACCCCTAGAGGATGCAAGGTTGCTCCAGAAAATTGCAGCAGTGCCGGATGTATATTAGAAGAAATGTGTTTGAAGTTTGTGTGTCTACCAGAGTGTGTGTGTGTGTGTATGTGTACTGTATGTCTCTCATATCTCCCTCCATTATTTTGTTGCCGCTCCAGCCGGGGCCTCCCTGGAGGCTGTGACACTCATTCCTCAGCTTCCTCTCACATGAAAGTGTCGGACCCTCTTGTCAGCACCTCTGAGATCCCAGGGTGCTCATCAGACGAGGGGAGAGGGGAGAGGACGGGGCGAGGAGAGAGAGGGAGTGACAGTGCTATTGTTGCAAGAATCCCACAGGGACTTCCTGAGAATATCCAACTTTAAAGGCCTCCATAATTTGTCTCAGAGTGAGAGAGAGAGATTCTCTCGCAGGCTCCCCTGGGATTTGGCATGCAGCCCACGGTCGCTTAAAGGTGTCACTAGCAAGTAGGCAAAAAAAAAAAGTGTGAGCACGCCCACTCATCAGTGACCCTGAAGCCTGACTGCAGAGTCCGATTATTAGAAGTCAGGAGTGGAAGAGATGTGATCTGTTTGCTTTTGAGAAACTGAAATATAAAGTCACATATTTCTTCTGGATTAAAACAAGTTATCTAATCAAAAAAAAAAAAAAAACACAAGTGGGAAGAAGATTGAGATTATTTAATATATTCTGAGAGGGAAAGCTCATCCATTTGGAGGCAGGGCGGTTGGACAAGGTGGGTGAAACAAACATGTCTGATACATGTTGAGCTTATGAGGTTCATAACTATTTTTTAATGTGAAAAATCTTTGTATTCAGTATAATCATGGTGCATGGTTGATTCTGGTTATGTAATTATGTTTATATTGTATTTCTCAAAGAGTATTTTGTATTTTGTCCTATGCTAAATTTAAAACAAAAATCAAATCCGGGACATGTGCTGCAAAACTTTAAGAAACCCAATTAACCTACTTCTTGAGGAGTTTAGTGTTTTATCAGATGTAACAGTTTTCGCCAAAAGGGGCTGCCATGAAATCTTTCATGCTGCGGAACGACCCATAATTTAAGTTTAATCTCTTTTACAAGGTGCTTGTAGTAGCACCTAAAGCCACATAATATTGTTCTTCAGTGCAATACCCGACGTAGCCGTGCTCAGCCTCGTAGCAAAAGAGTGTTTACATCACCGATTAAGAAAAAAAGTGCATGAGCTGAATTTAGATTTGTCATGCCAGGGTGCAGGGGTCTGCAATGCTGATGTGTTTTGTGGGGTGTATGGTATTACCATATCTTTTTTAATTGCCCAATAACCAAACTTAAAATAAAAAAAACAGTCTCTCTTGACTCAAAAAAAAGGCCAGAAACTTTCCACAATTTAAACGCCAGGGGCCATGCAACTTCTTGTCAAACTTTCTGCCGCTCTAATCTATACAGCCAGTTAGCTGGACCATTATTTCCTGCAGTGTGTTCATCACTCCTGACAGGCTCATTGCAGAGCAGCAGGCCCCCGCCTGACAGGCCTTACTAGGGGGGAACAAAAGTCCCGGAGGCTTGTCACTGCGAGACATTTCAGCTGTGAAGGCTCCAGCCCAAAAAGCAGATGACAAAGAAAGATGATTATTCCTGTGTTTTTTCCACTGCGATGTATCACCTCCTCACCAGGCATTTCTGTTGTACCTCTAATTAGCTAGCTTACTCATCCCCATTGTGAAGTTGGGGGCTATTGTTTGTGTGAATGACAGGCCGGCATGCATCATAGAAAGATGTGGGGTGAGAGAAATGGGGTTGTACAGGAGAAAGAGAGTTATCCGACTTCTTTCCCTGGTCTTATTATGTAACTACCATTTGGAAGAAGACATTGTAGATGTGCTAGAAGAAACATGTGAATGATGATGATATCCTGCCTCACCTCCAAACTTCTTCTTCCAGTTGCAGGGGATCTTGCAGCGTTGGGTCTTGATGGTCTGCTTGCAGTCGGTGCCGGTGCGTGTCCCCTCCCTGGTGCCGAGTCCGCAGTCCCCTTCGTTTGCTACACACACACTCCACTGCCAATCTCCGCAGTCCGACTTGCGCTCCTTCTTTCCTGTAAGACCAAACGTACGACAGTGTTACCAACATAACCGCCCAAGGATGAAGTTAAGACGCAGTGTTGTTTGGGAGAAAGTAACAACCAGTTCGAGAGTTAATGAAACGTATTGACAATGACAACTCTTGTCAAGCCAGACTTCAAGGTGTGTTTAAATATTTTGAGGGCATTATGCAGTTACAAGGCTTCAGAAGACGACTTGGGTCAACTGTGTCATCAGTTTCATTTTACAAAGATGAGAAAAATCAATGCATTCACACATGTACTTCATGTTTCCAAGGAAGCAAAATAAAAACCACAAAAATGCCACAATTCTGGCTTCAAAATAAAAGGCCTCACAACCAACGGTGTCATGGTGGCTACGTCTTCTTCTCGCATACAGACTGCAGTCGACACCTTTTAGCTTTCAAGTGTCATGTCATGTATTCTAGAAGAAGAGTTTAAGGTTCAGTTTCAAAGCAGGGAAGTTTTGAGCGTCTCATTAGAGGCCATGAATCTGACTCGACTGAAGTGAGTCTCACATCTCCAGCTCTGGATGAACTAAATATGTGCTGTCCTCGTTCTTTATTAAAAAACAAGAAGTGGGAAATGCAACATGGAGTGTTTATAAAAGTATTGTACCCTCTCGGGCTTTTTCAAATTATTCCAAGGCAGATGTAATTGGTTTAGGTGCCTGTGCTAATTTCCAATGCAAATTAACTTTTTTTTGCTTGAATTTAAATTAGGCTAAATGTTGTTGTGCTTCACCCAAGTGGGATTTATCCGACTTATTTTGCCTCTCTTGCAAGATACTGCTATTTGTTCTGCTAAGTTCTCATAGGAGACAAATTACTTCAACCCCAGTGGCTATTTTTTTCCCCCTCATTTCATTTTCTTTTTTTTGTTTTGTTTTGAGTTGTGTCCAACTAAATAAGTTAAGAAGGATGTCTCTCACAGAGCCGCCTAGAACTCCTCGTGATTATTTTACATGTTCTTTTTCGGTGAATTGATTGATAACGTTTCTCCATCTTTTAAAGTAAGCGAGGTGCACCGGTGGTCTAGCGGTTAGCTTGCACAACCCATGTACAGAGGCCATTGTCCTCAAAGTAGCAGCTCGGGTTCGAGTCCAACCTGTGACTCATTTCCTGCACATCATCCCCTACTCTCTCTCACCCCGGTTTCCTATCACAATAAGGTCATAAAATGCCAAAAAAAAAAAGAATAACTCTTCTGAATAAGTAAGCAAAACATCATTTTTATAACACCTTTTGAAGACTTGCTTTTTTTAGTTACAGAGAAAACAGGATGTGTCGCACGACTAACCCTGCATATTTTTTTTTTAAATTCACACTTTTTTTTTCCAGAGTCAAAGAATCCTCTCTAAGGTTTTCAGCCTCACCTTGTTTCTCTCCTTTTCCTCCCTCGGCTGCCATCACCGTTAGCACAAGGAGTGCCATCACGGCCACCCGTGTCCACTGCTTCTGACCGTTCATTCTGAAAGAGATGCAAAAACATGTTTTGGAGAATCCTGTATACATCACCATATTGATGCTACACGTCCCCATGGAGACGAATAAAGCGCACAGTATTGTATCGTATATCCTGTTGGGAAATACATATTGCATCATTCTGCTATGCTTGGTGAAGATCCAGAAGTTGTCCAGGTATCGATGTAAATTATTTGTCTTATTCCAAGTAGAATTAACATTTCAAAACACACCATTTTTAAAAACTTGTGACTCCCTTGTGAAGTCTGCTTTAGACACATTCAGACAGATGTTTGGAACAGGAGAAAGCAGAAGAAAAAAAAAAGCCCACGAGACAGGAATAGCCTGGGGAATGTTCATCTCTCATCTTGTGTCATATCCACTGTGCTGGATTCCAATGTGAACATTATGATTGTCTGCACTGCCACCACACTGTCAGTCATGACCATATTTGCTGTCAATCTCCGTGAAACCTTGTCACTGGGAGATCAAAGTCTGATAAAAGTTGGATTTCATTTGTTCAAAATCCTGTTTCTACAGCATGTCATCATCTGAACCGTTCCAATTGACACTGTGGGTGATGTTCATGTTAATGATTAACCTCTGATTGACCACATGACATCGAGGCAGCATTTTTCTATCATTGCCATCAATGGAGAAATCGGCCAATGCTTCCAGCTTTTAGAGTTAAAAGTTTGAACAACTGTGAAAGTGCTTCATGATAAGTTTTTTTCTCGTGAAAAAAAGGGTAAATGATGTGAAAGTCGCAAAAACAAAGCGATGACCATTTCAGCAACCGTTTGACGTTTTACATGGCAGAAGATGCAAAAGGCTTTAGAGACATTAGAGAGGTGCTGCTTGTCAACAGGCAAGGCAGGCAACTGCTTGGGGCCCCGGGCCAGAAGGGGGCGCCCGACGGCTGACAAACGTTGAACCACAGCACTGACTCTGCAACGGCACTAGGAAACCTCCCTCAGGGGGCCCCATCTGACAGCACTCGAATACAATATTTCTGTGAAAACGTTTGTTTGTCAATGAGAGTCGCGGAATGGAAATAAATAATAATGATCTGTCTGTGAGAGGAAAAAAAGAGGAAAATGGGTTCACGCTGGACACTGGGAGACATAATGTTGATGAACGCTGTTAGGAGGGGCCCCAAATTAATGTTTGCCAATGGCCCCAGCAGAGGCCAGCATCGCCACTGCTTCCACAAGACAGTGAAGAAAAGTGCAAGCATTAAGGAGGTCGTAGCACTGCTCTGTGAATTGTCACCGCAGAATGTCATCAGCCAACTCGTTCTTTGGTTTTTCATTGTTAACAGAGATCTGCTGACATTTTAAGGTTTAAGACGATCAAACATGAACTTCATAGCAACAGAATCAGACTCTATCATTTGATCCTCTGGCTGCTTCTGGATCGCCAGAGAAGCTGTTCCTGTCACCGTCCCCAGCCTCGTGCACCGTGATGAAACTACCACTACTCTCTTTTGTGTGTGAGAGAAATCCTCTCGCAGTCAGCGCTCTCTAAGAGGAGAGACAGCGTGAGACTGAAGCAATTACCTGGCTAACACCAAAAAATGCTCCTCTGTGCTCAAATTCTGGCGGAAAGGTTGAGCCTGGCGGGGAAATAAAACCCATTTGTCATTTTTTATTAATTATGAGCTGGCTTTGAGCCCGACGCCCCATTGTGCTAAAAACGCCTCTCGGTTAGAACGCCGCAGACGTTAACTCTCAGTCTGTTTCTGGGAATTCAAACCTTATATTAAGTCATTGCAATGTATTGAAAGTGCACTTTACATAGGATGTGTCCTAGCACTTGTGAGAAACTAATAATGAGCTTCATGGTAGTGCCTGCCAGGAGAAACCATCTGAAATCTTCATATTTTCCAACTGTGCCAGTGCACAGAGAATCCCTGTTTTGATTAGATACTTCCGACTCCAACGCCCAGTTTCTTTTTTGTCGACTCTTTTAAAAGAATCCAAACTATTCATCTCCATAACCCAAAAAAAATAGGGGGAAAAAAACCTATTGAATCCCAACTGTAAGAAGTGCATACAATGACTTCTAAGAGTTTCAGAGAGAAAACTCAATGAAAGCTCCTTGATAAGGATCATTTTCCAAGAGAAAAGGCATTGAGGCCTTTCAAAAGATAAGAAAGCCTTTTCCTCAGTTAGTCACAAGCAGAGAGATGGGCTCGTGGTGCAGTGCGGGCATGAAGGGAGATGGGGTTGATGACTTTGAATACTCCATACAGTGGGTTAAAGAAAGAAATAAGTTTGACGATTACTCTGAATTAACCATTTTTGCCTGCAGTCAGAGAATCGTCTGAGAAGACGGGTTCCTCCTCCTCCTCTCGAGGTCAGTATATTTAATGTCACTCCCAACCATGTAGCCTCTATTTTCAGAGCATGACAGCACCTATAATGGATGACTGGGTGGATGGGAGCATTTGACTTTCATTCGCAGGCATGTGTAAAGCTTTGATAAGAAACGCTGGCAGAGTTACAGGATGTCCACTTCCTCTCATTCCAGTATGTTCTTTCTCCTTTTCCTTCACCACACAGATTCAGTCATATCGACAGTTTCGACATTTGATGACAGGAAGAAGAAGGTTGGATAATAAGGAAGCAAGGACACTGAAGACACCAAGACTCTAAAGTTTGAACAAAGCAGTGGCCAATTTTGGGCCCGATTCCACCCTTACAATAAAAAAACAAAAGCCCTATCCCCAATGGGTAACTCTGTATTACCTGGAGACCGGTGATAATTTGTAATAATTGCGCAGGACATCTGTGCTTTTAATCCTGGCTGAATCAACCATGTCTGCAATTTGTGATGTAAAACCTCCCAGGCAAATTACCTGTTGTATTTGAGCAAACAAAGCAAACAAACCCTCTGATAATAGTTATCCTGTCCCAATCGGTATTCTAGTAATGATTGGTAGTAAAATAAATGTAAAAGGTCTCTGTGGCTTTTTCCAGTCGAGTAAATGGAGGCTTCTTGGTCACTAAAATGATTGACATCATTTTTGGTGCTGGAGACCCATTCACAGAAAAAATAACATAAAATCCATCAGAAGAATGTATAGGATATCAAAAAGTAATGGATGGATGACAGGCTCAACAGCATGTGGTTAGGATGATTTATATCTTTCAACAGGTTTCAATCAAAAGCCTGTATAATGCTAGCACTGTGTGTACATTAAAGCATAGTCGCCTGCAGAATGCAAGTGGCACTTCATTGGTTTTTATTAAATTTAATTTGAAAAGAAGATGGCAGGGATATAATTAGTGTTGCTCGGCAACCACTACATCAACCGTGCGGTAATTCTTCAATCAATATCTCCAAATAATGAAAATAGAGGGGATAAAAGTCTGGGGATGGGCTCAATTACCAGAGATCCACACAGAATACTAATCCTGTGTGAATAGGCTAAAGGGATTATAAATTTCAGAAACCTGGAGTCAGTAAAGTTTTGTTACAAATTGCTTGTGTTGTTCACACAAATTAAGGAAATTCTCAAATTTAAGTAGCTGGACCTGCATATTGTTTGGTATTTTCTGGATTGGTTAATGATTTATTCATCAGTTGTTTGTTTCAATGTTTTAATTTAATGGAAAGTATGAGCAAAGGCGGAGTTAAGATCTAACTTGACAAAGGCAAAACCACCATGAAAAGCCTCCAGTGCAACAAAAGGAGAAGAAATAAATACAGTCCTCATGAGACAGTTAGAGAAATGGTACAAGACTAGTTCTTTTCATGTATCAAAGTGGAAGCCAAATGAGATAGCTTAATTGGGAATGAATTACAGTTCCCCCTTTGAGCTTCTGTGGGAACAAGAGAACTAAATGGTTGCAAACCTCACACGAAGGGAGGTTACTTTATCTGGAACATCAGAAACATCCAGAAGCCGATATGGCTCATGAGCCAGTGAGAATTAGTCCTATCAAACCCTCAATTTGCCCCATTGATCCAGACCCAGCTGTGGGTTCCTGGTGAGAGGAATGGAGGATGAAAGCCAATACTGGCCACAAATCGATGGACCTTCAGTGACTCCAGCAAATAAACACAAGATGCTCCACCACTCCCGAGCACAGGCAAAGAACGGGAGCTAAAACGCTCTCAATCACTCTTCTCTTACTCATTGGAACTGATGCTATCCCTGCTGGGTAAAAAAGAGAATCTGTTTATACGAACACATCCTTTGCTCACTTTTAATACTAAGTTAGAAGGTGATGGAGTCTGCAGAGAAGGAATAAAGCAGAGAACAGTTTAATCAATCAATTATAAGACCCAGGAAAAGGTGAATCACTTGGGTTATTAGCTGTGCAGGCCGAGCGAAAAAAGATTTCCTCCATTAAGGTTTGGCGAAGCAGGGATTATTGTCTCTTTTTATTTAACCATTAACGTCTTAAAAAACAATTCTTAATGTGAGAATATCTTTGTACCTCTGTGGTGTGTAAGCGGTGAACCCAAATATCATCATCACACACGTGTATGGTTTAAGTATCACTTAGCAGTGCATGAATTAAACATGCTTTTTAATATCGCTTTGCCCCTAGAGGCTTAATCAAAGGATCTTGTTTCCAAAGGCAAGTTTTTCCCAGCTCTCTCCAATTCCATCACAGAAGCTGCAAGACGGTATCCTTTTTTTTTTTTTTTAAATTTTTTTAATTAAATTGGCCTTAAAACTGTTTTTCACACGTTTAAGTTAATATCAACTTTTGTACACTCATAACTGAGTTATTGACTCTAAAGTCGTTTTGATGTTGGTGTTGTTTTTCTAAATGAAGTGAAAATCTTTTAGTTTTCCCACTCAATTAGAAAAGATACATATTCAAATCTTGGGATAAAAATAACCCAAGTCTTGCTCTACTTTCACCACAAGTGGAGCCCTCTTAAAGGGCTCTTTAGGCTCCGTCACCCACCTTTGAGTATCAACATTTGCATAATACATAAAGCTAATCCTAAAGGGCCCTTGAAGTCATTACATCTTCAGTCTTTAAT